TATGCCATCGATATTGTATCTTTATTGAAATGGTGTGAAAATAACAATGTAACAAAGGTAGGTAAATAATCATAAATATAGTATAATAATTGTAAATGTACCTAAGTATATAACGAAACAATAGTAATTGTATTTTCAATTTAGTAGAATAATATTATTATGAATAACAGAATAAAGCATGGCTGCATATTATTTTTTTTCGAGTAACAAGAATGACACCCGAGTATAATACAAAATTCTATTCATGAAGTCTAGATTATTTATTTTTTTATTATCAATTATTCCGCGGTAATTTAGAACACTGGGGAGGGGGTGGTACTGTAGGTTTATGGAACGGTAGGTGTGTTACACGTGGGCGAGTTTTTGGCAGAATTTTTATCTAGGCACCCGTAAGTTTCTGCCATGCCTAACCTGGGGATGGTGGCACTTGTTCTCTAGACACCGTGACTTGCCCGGAGAAAGATATCGTCCGACGGTCGAGGATCGAACCCGGTCCGGCTGAGCCACAACCGAGACCGCTCGGTCACATCGTCCCCCTCTAGATTATAAATATGTAACTTATTTTGCATATTTGACATTTTTAAGCATATAAAGGCATAATTTAATGATTATTTCTAGATTATTTTATTTTATTTTTATTTAATATACKGGATATTATACTCTTTGAACATATGAACACATTATGCATATATAGAGTTACACATCAAATGTACCATTTATGATATATGACGAAAATTTTAATAGCTAGACAATAAATTATAAGCATAGAAGATACGAAGAGCAACATTGGCATTAGATATCATACGTGTAACAGGTTCATTTTTAAGGTAWTTAGTGGAGGCGAAAGGAAAATAAAATGGAGCAACAGATCAGGAAAGACATTGAGGAACTCTAAAACAAATTAAGGAAAGCGGAGAGTCAATGTTACCTTGTATCAAACTATTCAGGAACATAATGCCGAGATTTGTCTACCCTAAGCCAGCGAAACTATGCCTTGTTGAGATAATAAAATAATATTTTAAAAATTGTATCGTGTATAGAAAATGCTAATATAAACAATCATTGATTTTTTCGAAAGCAGATTTTTAGTAAAAATTCCTTTTTTCCTTAATTTTCTTTTGTTTATCTGTTTTTGAAAACTAGTGAGAAATTTTAGACACTGTTGAAGAAAATCTAAGCATTTTTAATGTCCTAAAAGGTTTCCGAGTCCTTAGATTTTATTAGTAATATATGAGATATATGCAACATATATTTTTACAAAATGATATAATAAATAATAATATACAAAACATTTTATTTTAGGCTGCCATTATTAGTTACCGGGCTAAAAAATGTGTTKTATCTTGGAATTAGAAAAAAATACTGTTTAAGTTGTAAGAACCATTAATGAACCTAGTAATGAACCATCCCTTCACAATTGATCAAGAAAGTGGCCAACGACAAGTTGATCATCGAGAATAAAGGCATTCATAATAGTTGAAAGATTTAAAGATAGTGAAGAAATGTACGGGTTACCGGGTTAAGGTAAACTCATAAACTAGTAGCAGACGGTGACAGTAGTGTTTATCAAAACATTTTAGAATTAATGCCTTATAAAAATATAACTGTAAAAAGTTGAGTGCAGAAACCACCTGCTTAGGAATTTGTATGATAAATTAAAGAACATTTCAACAAAAAAATCAGCTGGTAAATTAAAACATAGAAAACTACTTAATTCTAATATATTACGTATCAGAAAACTTATTGTTTATGTAATTAGTTATAGAAAATCAAACGGTCATTCARTCAATGATTAAAGGAATGATATTATGAATTATATTTATCATGTATTTGGTAACCATGTGGCATGTGCAGTATTTTTGTGATAAAAAAAGTAATTTGTGTGAATTTTATACATTATAGTAGATAGGTTATATTCATTTTGGCGCACTTGGATCTTTTTTTACAGTCAAAAAACAACTTAAATTTAGCTTATTTTAACATTTTAACATCAAAAATACATCACTTTTTTTGTATACAATTTTTATGAATTTACATCAAAATTTTATGTTTTTTTTTTATATAAATTTACATACATTTTTGTTTACACGAAATTACATAAAGTTTCCATTGACAAATTTAAATAATAAATAAATTGCAAACAAACACAAATTTTTGAAAATTAAATTGTATATAGATAACACTAACATAAACATATGGTGAAAATTTCAAGYATTTGCAGTCATTAGTTTTTGAATCACAACCATATAAATAATCGATTTGGTCGAAAACTGATTTTGCGTAAAAATTCCCGTTTTTCTGTCATTTTTTTTTTGTTTTTCTAAATTTTTTTTGAAAACTGTTAGAAAATGTTTACTTTTGACAAAACTGATAAAATAGGTAATTATTATACTACCATGTTTAACATTAGATACTTACATTAGATACCAACAGTATAATATATTTAAAAATCAAACTCTTATAGGTTATAGGCAGGTATAAAGAAATAAGCTTTTGCCAAAAATCAAAATACATAAATGAATATTATAGGTACTGAAGTAGTATGTGGGCACGTTGAGGACACTTATTTTTTTATCAACATTAAAAATCATATAAAAACCATAAAAAACATGAACATTAAAAAAAAACCGACCTTATATTTTTATGTTAAAAATTACAAAAAATATAAACTATTTTTAAATGAATCTAAATTTATATTTTACCTATTAAACAATACAAAAAACATTATACATACAGTCAGGCACGGATTGGGCGGGTGGGACGCCTGGAGTTTTCCCGGTGGGCCGGCAACTATGTCGTACTTTCTTTTTTAGAATAAGAGATATTAATAATAATAATTATTATAAATTTAAGCCATGTGTAGACTGCTAGACTGTATGATTATCATATTTTAATATTTTATTGTTTATTCGTTGACTGATTTGAATTTTATCAGTTGTAACATGTAAGCACTGTTACAGTGTTGAATCCATGACTATGGATAATACCATCTATCAATACCACCAATCGCAGTTTAAACATAGACCTTATACGGTATTACGGTAATATTAGACCGTAAAGTTAAAAATGTTGGACTATAATAGATTATGTGAAATATTCCGAAAGATAACACGATAACGTCATATCTTCATGATCATATAATTATACTATACTAAATACTTGTCAATTGTCATGAGTCTTATAATATACTTTTTATATTAACAGTCAACATTATTTTGTATTTCGTAATCGTTAATATTTATTTTTATTTTAAATATGAGTGATTCAAAACATTTTTTGAAGCATAAAGGAGGTGCTGAAAAAGCACGAGCCAAAAACAAAAAACTTCTTTTAGAATCTAGTGCAAAATGTCCTAAATTAACTGATATGTTTAACATAAAAAAAACTGAAATAACAGATACAATTAGTAAAACTGGTAAGTCTATAATACTAGTCTATATTAAAAATTAAATTTATTAATCCTTATTAATTTAGTGTTGTTTCTAACTAAACAAATTCTATTTGCTTGAACTTATTTAAATTATTTACCCTGGTTATGAAATGCCATGTTAAATATTGCCTAAAATTCATATTACATGACTTGGTAATTGATATAAAACAAGACTTATGCTTTTATTTCAATAAATGGCTAACTTTTAAGAATTAAATACTTCAATTAATTTATAGTTATTAATACATTTATTCAATGCATTTTTAAATATTTTAAATACTTATCTAATAATTAAAAGGTAATGAATTTATATTTTTGTTGCATTATATAATTTAATATTTTTATCATAATATAGGTAACATTTTTGTTATTTTTCATCAAATTATTATCATTTTTATTTGAAAAGCAAACACAATATTATTTCCTCAAATTTATAAATCAAATGATTTATGTGATTTACCTAGATACATACCTAATTAATGAAACATTATTTTATTTTTATATTATTTTATTTTGTTGCTAAATGCAAATGTGAATATTAATTATGCTTTGGCTTTGTTGTTTATATTATTTTATAGATAGCTTGGTGCTAGTTGAAACAAAAAGTGGTATTGATATTGTCTAAACAGAAAGTAGTGAGATTTTTTCAGTTGAAAAAAATACCAACATATTTTTCTTTTCAAAACCAAAGAGCTGTAACTTAGATTTGTTTTTTGAATATCATCCAACAGCCCTATGAAGAACTACCATTTAAACCAAAAAAAGCTTATTATCGTCCTGACAATACTCAACGACAGTGGCTATCGTATAATTCAATTAAAAAAAGCATTGTATTGTTCAGTTTGTTTAGTGTTTTGCCCTCATTCGAATGCTTTTACTGAAGGTATGGTCACATGATCACATACATATCAAAGAATAGAGGAACATGAGAATAGTAAAGATCACACTGATGCTGCTGAAGCATATTTTTTAAATTCAACTAAAAAAAATATTGATTTTCTTTTATTTTCAAAACAAAAATCTCTAAGAAAAGAACAAATTAAACAAAACAGACAAATATTAGAACGTATAAATTGATATTATAAAACTTATCGGAAAAAGGGGTCTAAGTTATAGAGGAAATCAATGTGAATCAGCATATATGTTGGATAGTCTATCAACTGATCATGGAAATTTTTTAGATATTCTTCTGTTACTAGGTAAATATGATATTCATTTGAATGACCATTTGAAAACCATTATAGAAAAGAGTAAAAAAGCGCATGAATCAGGAAGTAAGGGAAGAGGAGGACTCATTACATTTATTTCTAAGAACGGACTGAATGTCATAATTGGTTCCATTAGCTGCATTATTAAAAACAAAATATCTGATGCGGTTCGTGAAGCAGGAATGTACTCAGTAGAAATTGATACTACTCTGGATATATCTGTTATGGACCAATATGTTGACAAAAACTGTGTTAAAGTAAATGAAAAATGAATTGCACTTGTAGAATGTTCAAATTCATCTGGCCATGGTATGTTTGAAATGCTTCAAACTGTGTTAAAAAATAACAATCTGAATTTAGAAATGTGCATTGGTAATGCAACAGACGGTGCAGCCAACATGCAGGGTATCTACAATGACTTTACAACTTGGTTAGAAAAGTTCTCTCCAGGGCAAGTGCATGTTTGGTGCTATGCACATATATTAAATTTAGCCATTACTGATGTAACAAAGTTTTCATTAGAAGCAGCATCTTTATTTACTCTTCTAAATAATGCAGCTGTATTCTTTAAAGAGTCACATAAGAGAATGTCTCTCTGGAAAAATGTTGTAGGTGAGAAAGAACAGCGAAGATTACAGAAAGCTGGAGACACTAGATGGTGGGCTAAGGAAAGTGCTCTTAATAATATTTTTGGATCACCCATTGATGGTTTTAATAGTGCTATGTATGTTTGTGTTGTCAGTGCATTGTATAAAATAGAAACATCTGATAAATTCAGTTCAGACATTAGGCTAAAATCAAAATGTTTAAGAACTGAATTCTTGAAGTATTCTACTGTATTAACTGCATTTATCTACCAAAGAATATTTGAAATAACAGGGCCAATTTCMAAATATTTACAAACAAGCGGTATTGATTTAATAAAATCTCAAGAACTTGTAAATGACGCATTAAAACGTCTAATAATTATACAAAGAGATTGTAATGGCATACAATTGGTAGCAAACAAATTTGTGAAGTGGGCGTCAACAGAGTTGGAAAATAAATTAGACGAGGTAGATATTGATGATTTGATTGTTGAAGACCATTTACCTGAAATTAGAAGTAGGAAAAGAAAATTACTACCTGGTGAGGTATCACACGATCAACCAATTGTAAATGCTTATCAAAGATTTACTGTGGAAGTACACAATGTAATTTTAGATAAAATTGTGTGCAAAATTAAAGAAAGATTTACTGGCAATGAAATGTTATATAATGACTTATCTTGCCTATCTCCTATCAACTTTGTTGATATAACAGTTAACGGTTTACCATCTACAGCATTAAATGAACTATGTAAAAAGCTTGTAATATTTGATAATCGTTTTAACGCCACTGCATTAAAAAGTGAACTGTTAAATTTTGCAAAACATTGGAACAGCCTTAAAAAAACATTACCAGAATTTTACTTAGAAAACAAAAATACAAACATAACATTTGAAAATAACGGATCTAGTGATGAAGTTGAAGAATGTGACACCCAAAATGCAATTAAAACAAGTTGTAGGTTTTGCATGAATTGTACTATATGCTGTCTTCATGTTTTAGTCAAGTATAATATGTATAGCAGTGCTTATAGTAATTTAGGATTGGCATACAAATATCTTTTAACACTGCCATCAACTCAGGTACCTACATATATATTTTATAAATTATTTAAATACACACTATAAATATTAATTCATAACATTTGCGTTTTTCGTAGGTAGCATGTGAGCGAACATTTTCGACTTTGAAATTTATTAAAAACAGATTAAGGAGCAAACTATCGGAATCCAAACTAGAGGCTTTTATGTTAATGTCTGTCGAAAAAGAAGTACTTTATAATATAGACTCAGATGACATAATCAATAAAGTAGCTAGTACCTCTAAAATATTAACTAAAGAATTAATGTATTAATTAGTTATAAATATATTTGTGTAACTAAATTTGAGTATATTTTTTTTCAAAAAGGGCCGGCATAGGTACAGGTTTCCCGGTCTGAATTTTTATCCCAATCCGTCCCTGCATACAGTTATAATAATGATAACAGTAATTCTTCTTCATAAATTGAAGACCCCGGTGCAATAACCATATACGTCCACATTTTTTCAAAAATCATGTTTTGATATAGAAATAATCAGAAAAAAATTCTCTATCGATCGGTGCAAAAACCGAATACGTCCAACGAATAGTATTGAAATAAAATGATAAAATTGATTTTTAAATTTCTGTTGGGTGCAATAACCAGATACGTCCGGACGTAACTGGTTATTGCTACCAACACTTCTATTCAAATTTTGCTATTCTATCCATTGCAATAACCAGTTATAAAGACTTAGTTTTTTTGATGTAGTATAAAAATAAAAATATATTTTAATGAAATAAAATTAATTTATTATAATATTAATATACTTTATTTTTATCCTATGATTTAGTTTTTGGTGATTAATAAGTATTGTAGTAATGGTACCACTGTTTTTAATCAATATTAATCTTGTTATTCTATCAACAAAATAAATCAGAATATTCTTATTATTAATAAATAATAATAATTTATTACTAATTAATATTTTTCAAATAATTAAGTACYTACAACCTTTTATCCTAAAATTTTAATTATTACTTATGATTATATTTTATTTTTCTAAACAAAATGAGTGATAGTTCTTTAAGTGTATTCGATGACACGGATTCCGATCCAGATTTTATTATCGATGGAATGAGGACTGATTCCAGTTTATCAGTGTCTGATTTTGATGAGGAAATCTATAGAAAACTAATTGAAAATGATCAAAAGGCTAATGACAATAATAATTCAAATACATGCACATTTTCAAATATTAATAAACAATTTACCTCTTATAATATATTAGCTTATGACAGTGATGATAATAATAACAATAATKATCATTCTAATGGTTTTGAACAAAACCATAATATTCCATCTACTTCTTTATGTGTAATAGAACCATCTAGCACTGATGAAGGAGATAATAATATAGTTGATAGTGAAAGAAAAGGTAAGAAGAGGCGGTGAAGACTAAGTCTATGGAATAGGAATAATATCGTAAAATTTATAAATATAATATAATAACCTAAATAATCCTTCTGTTCCTTCGTATGTTTTTCCATTTATAATCAAATTATCCTCTTTAAAGTTTACTACATCTTTACCAATCATATATTGTTTTTTTGGAGTATTGTAATATATTCCAAAAACTGAATCATTTATTCTCGGTAAATATTTGGATGTATTAGGACCTAATACTATGGTGTTTTTTTTTGACTTGAAGACATATGTTTTCTAATTGGTGATCTAATTCCCAAAGGCGATTTAATTGACGTTTTTCATCTTTAGTTAACTGTAATATTTCTGGTCGTTTATATGGAACCAACAATTTTTTGAATATTTTCATCGGTTTTAATATTTAATTCTTTAGATTCATTTACAGCATTTACAATATTTTTTAATTCATTTGTTACTGGTCCAAAAGATTTTTCCTACTCTTCTTCAGCATACATGTTTCTTAAAGCTGCATTTTTATACTCCTTCTTTAGTTTAATTTCAAGTTCAATTATTCTGTCTGCTTCCTTAATTGACACTTTTTTCATTACAGAACCTCCTTTTTTTATATCTTTTTCCTTTGTTTTTTTAAAAAATATTCCTCATATCTTTGATATCCATTTAATATGAAAAAAATTTAATAAAACAAAAATATGTTCCAAAAACAGCCAACATCTAAATATTTGTGTTTAACAAACGTACATGTTCAACAAACGTATGTTTCAACAAACGAACTTGTTCAAAAAACGTGTGTTCAATGGTCAAATTAGCGTTTACGTTCAATGTCTAAATTTATGATGTTAAATTTATTATAAATATCTTTATAATTAGCTTCTAACTTAATTGATATAAACCCAAACTTATTTTTCCAACATTTAAAACATAAAGATCTAAATTTATCAAAAGTTAAAAAATTGATTATCTTATCTTTCCTAAAGACTAATCTTAAGATTATCTTAAAGACTCCTCAAATATAACTAAAAAATTGCAGTTTTGTCTGATTGATCTTGCATCTAATAAGGTATAATTTTGGCCTATATAAATACATGAAATATTTTTAGATCTAGATCTTATAAAATATTCTTTCATTCTATCTTGTTTATCTAAAATATAATCATCAAAAACAACTAAACTATTTGATTTACATTCATTAACAGATATTATATCTTCATAAGTAATATTTACTTCAACACTATCCAAGCCAGTAAATACTTCTTTCATTTTTTCATAGACATGCTGTTCTATGTTTTTCGTAAAAATATAAAGATTATCAAAAGGAACCCAATAATTAATAATAATATTAAACAATATGTTCGGGCCAGATATCACCAGGGCGCGCCAAGTCTATTAGACTACAGCTTTTACGGCGCATGCGTCGTACTTATCACTACGTCCACAGTCTGCGTCGCGCACGTGTGTATGATTATGATGTCCCCGTAGCCACGCTTTTATTTTTCGTGTTCGCCGTTGTTGTTTTTTTTAATTTTATGTCGGACTTAATGGCCATTGCGGGCGACACAATTATACGTGTGCGCGTCTTGTTGCTGATTCCGCATATTATTAATTATCGTTAAACGTGCCTTTATAACATTGTGCGTGTGCCCGTGCGGAACCACGTACGTGGATCGTTCTTTAAGTCGCTCTTTTTCACACACCGTTCCCTCCTGTCATTTTACGTTGTTAATTATTTTACACGTTCGGCAGTGAGAGCGTGTTGGTCTTCATATTTTACTATGTTTATAATTGTATGACCACCACCGGTGTTCTTGTTGTTTGCGGATGTGACAGTGATGAACAAGTCGTCTTTGGGACAAATACCTCGGTCCGGAACAGTTGCAGTAGCCGCCGTCGACGACCAGGTCAGAACGTATCATACCCATATTAACATTGTTTGATTTTGTTAACACGATGATTGTTATCAACGCCGTGCGTATTGATTGTTTGTATTTTTTTTTCATTATCAATCGCCTTCGTGATTGTTCTTATTATTTGTATTAAACTAAGTTGAAYTAACATAGCATTAAGCCGTTCTCATGTACCTATTGGTGATATATTGTTATGTAAAATTCATTATAATTTATACAGTCCACTTAAAACAAAACTATTTTGTTGTTTAATCATATTTATAGTACTCTAGTCCTTATTATAAAAAAAAACCCGGTCGAGATATAACCGTATTCATRTGAATTGGCTATCGCGATCAAACACAATAAGTTAGTTTTCCCTGATCCAGAAGAACCTAGGTATAATTAAACATCTCATAGGTGTTGGAAAAATTGATTTTGATGTATTATCTTTATCTTTATCTAAATGAAACACTTTAATTTAATAATTATCCATTTAATATTGAAAAATTAATATAAGTTTATAAAAATTATTTCCTATTAAATTTTTCTCTTACTAAATATAATAGAGACCAAATATAATGTCTGATGCAATACTTTTAAAAGTACGTTTAAATAAACAGGGTTACAAATATAAATATATTAAATTATTAGAATTGGAAATGAACAAAAAGTATGAAGTAACTGCTTTTGAAATTATTAACACTAATGGACAGGATGTATCTGTTGTGTTGGATAATAAATATAAAATCTTTTTACCAAATAGATATTTAAGAATTATCTCTAACAATCTATATGAAATGAATGATTTTCAGTGGAATACATTTTACATTTATTACAGATGTGTAAAAATGTTTGATAATGGAGCTATATACCATCCATTTAGAGTTTGAAGCTGATATTCCAAATACTGTTGTAGATAATTTACAAAAAGAATTAAATACAGAATATTTYACATACAAATATATACAATTATCTGATCTAAATATCAATGAAAATAATAGAATAACATCATTTAAAAAAATAACTACAAAATATGGAGAAAGAGTTTCTGTTTTGTTAGATAATAAACATATACTTTTATTACCTTACAGAATTATTAACACTATCTCTAAACAAGATAAAGACAGATATAATGATGAAATGTATATCATAATATGATATTATATATTATATAAAGTTAAAAAAGTTCTTGATAATGGAAAAATTGGAAAATCAATCCATTTGATAGAATTTGAATATCTTACTCACAAATTTTTGTCAAATAAATGAAATTAATTAAAATCATAAAGGGATCTATCTATCTAGAACATGACATACATAATGAAAGTCAAAATATGTCTATTGAACTTTATGCTTTCTCGTTTGCYAGTTCTAATAATTTAATTAAAATTGAAAAGGGTTGCCAAATTACAATTAACAATAACATAATTTATATCAATATACTAAAGAGCAACTAAATAAATTAATCAGTCCCTTAGTTATATATTTTCTTGATTAAAAGTTTAAAATTGAATCCCCGTGTTACTATAATCTAGTTGAAAACTTAAAAAAATATCTGGGTTTTAAAGATATAAATTTTATAAAGACAAGTAACAAAAGAATGATTTACTATCCTACTTCAGATGAAAAATATATAAATATAGAGAAACAATGTGAATTTAAATTAGGTCGAAATGGTCAAATCCCGTTAAGTACAATATTTATAGGTGTATATTCATTAAGTGAAATTGAAAATGCATTTAATTCATTCSGAGCTAAATTTGTGGCTGATTTTCCTAAAATAAGTCTTGAATTAATTGAAGGTTTTATAAATATTACAGCCTCAATTGGCCTATGTTTTGATGAATATTTATCAAATCGTTTAGGTTTTGATTACATTAGAGACTTTAAAAAACAGATGATTCCTATAAATAAAACATGGCCTAAAGGGAATGGAACAGAATTTGGCATTGAGTATACAGCACCAGACATGGCTTACACAGTAATAGGATTAAAAACTCCAACATTTTACACACAAAGTTTCTTAAAAGATATAAATGGGATTATTGAAACAAAAGATATCAAAACTGTAATAGAAAAGAAAAATTACAGTATTGATCAATTAAATAAATTACTACCATCTAATATAAAAATCCAACAAACAAATAACTATATAACAATTACATCTAWRGATTATTATTTATTGGATGAAAATCTAAGGCTTAGTTAGGATTTGATGATACATATGTCTATAATCATATTGCGTCGGATAGTATACTTGGTCAATATTTTATAAATAAACTTTTGTAAATACATTGTGACATAATTGAAAAATCTATTTCTAACCATAAAATTGAACAATATCTACATAGAGATGATGATATCTTATCTGTAATCAAATGTGATGTTGAAGGACAATGTATAGCTAATGCTATTAAATATATTCCTCTAAATGTAATAGATTTTAAATATATTAAATTATTTATCTCTGATCAAGATGGCAATGAAATAAAAAATAATGAATTTGTCGCTTATTTAATCCTGAAATCATAAATATCTAAATAATTTTAAATAGCTATAAATAGTTCTAAATAATTTTAAATAATTTTAAATAGTTTTAAATAGGTAGTTTTAAATAGTTTTGAATAGTTTTGAATAATAGATAAAAACATATTATTACAAACAAATAGTTTTATTAATAGTTTTTAAGTGATTAATAAAATCTTCTCTATTTATTCCTATATTCTTATGACCCCGTGCCAATGTATCGGTTTTTCCATTAATTAAATGTCTTTTATCATCAAACCAGTTTAATCCTATTTTATTTTGCCTTATAGTACTAATTTYATGTTTTTCACTACGTATCTGTTCTACATTTTTACATATATTTTTTCTAAACATAATTTATAATCATCATATGTTATAACATTCTTAACTATATTTTTTCTTACTCCTTTAGCTTCCTTAATACCTTTATTTGAAGCTAATAATTTAATTGAATAAGACTTTGAAGCAAGGTTTTCATACAAGCGTTACACCATTCTTGATTTTTACTAAATAATTCATCAGTTCTCTTGAAACTTTGACATTTTGTACATAAATAAATGTCTCCTGATTTTAAAGACTGAAATAATATCTCATCTTTAT